TTGCATGCATGCATTTATATGACTTTGTAGGATGCAATAATTCCCTAACCATATTTTCTAAGGGTCTTTCAAAATCACTTTATAAAAATCGAGTTACTTCCCTATACGAAAAGACTATGGTGAACAAATCACTTCATTGAAGTCACTCGGAAAAGGCATGTCATCTTGGTTGCGAAGGAAATTACATAGATGTAAGCCAAGTTGATTAGCCGCTTTATTCAAAATGAACATTTTTTCCGATTATTGATCAGTGAAAAACACTTTACTAGACATGAGTAAAAAATACACGGTACGTAATTACCATTTACCCTTCTGTTTGTAACGACTTAGGCTGATTGGTTATGAGTTGACCGCAAACATCTTAGTAAATTTCAGAACATTAAAACTCAAGCATTCATTCACACTCATATTTGTCTATGGATTATATTTACCAATATTTTACATTGCATTTTGAAAAGTTTGTGTGTTTGAAGGGGTGCCATAAAGGAACAAAGAATCTCTGACTGAGGTGAGTAGTGTGAGCAGGCTTTGCGTATGAATTTAATCGGTTATCTAGATTTTTTCGCTAACAGAGGAAGACAAATGGAAAGCTGGATGTAAAAATCGAGAAAATTCCAGTTGAGTACCATAAACTTAGACAATGTACCCTCGCAATAACAACCTTTTTTAATTGCTGACGATTCCGAATCGATAAATGTGAATGATATATGAACTATGAAAATCTTTGGTATCCAAAGCAACCCTACCTTTTTTTCATCGCCAGTGCCGAATCAAAACTTTAAGTAGCTATTAGTAATTGTTTCTTGATATTGCCGTTAGGCTTTGTTACCATTTAACAACCACGTAATACTGTTGATCGAAGCGATAAAACTAAGAACCAAATCAGTTGATAATCTGACTGCTAACTATTTCCACAAAAATTGTTGTTTCTCCACAGTTTTCTCTATTTAGCACTTACGGTTTCACAAATATTTTCTCCACCGGTTATTTACTCAGTAAATGCAATGCGACTTTATAAGTTGGATCAGTAATAATTGTGATTTATTCTCAATTGACAGTTTGTTACATGAGGTATGCCAGTTTTACTGTAGTAAACCACTCAGCTAGGTTGGTATTTTATGATATATGAATGTAGATGGTTTTAGTAAGAATCGCAGTGTCAGTATCACAGTTGTCGCGCCCTATGAAGGTTGCGTTGCGGCGTGCAACTGATGGTCGAGAATAGATCCATTGATGTTGGGGGCTTCTAGAAATCGCAACCACATATCCCTCTGCAAGACGAAGTCACCCGTTTCATATCTGTTTTCGGTGGCATATCTCAAGGGGGCTGAAAAAGGCTTCAAGAAAAAGAAAGGACAAAAAGCAGAACAGACGATGTTCATAAAAGAATAGTTAAACCATAACTACTCAGTCTAATTCTCTTTTATTAAGATATTTATTAGGCAAGAGCATTTAAATATGTTAAAGGAAATAAGTATGACATTTAGGAAGAATAATGTATCTTTACCTTTAGAGAGGTGTGGGATCTGAAAGCGAGGGTTACGAGCATAAGGCCATGAATAATAAACAACGAATAATAGGAAAACACAAACCATAAGTTCTGCAATTTAGTTATATTCATATTAATAATAATAGGGTTCTGTATATTCTTGTACTGTCTAGATATTAGGCGGTCCATAATAAAGTGCCTCATTGGTGGGCGGGAGTTCAAGGAAAACTTGAGGCTTTTTAAAGTTTAATAACACGGTTGTTAGACTTTTGAATCTGATAAAAGTGTCACAGCTACGGATAAGTATTGGCAACCTGCTCCACAATAAACTATACCGCACTGTAAAAAACTTATAACGCATTTGTTTTTGGTGTTTTACGGTAAGCAGTATATATGCGTTGTTTATTAGTCTATAGGCTGGATCGTAGATCATAGTCGGGCAGGTTGGAAATGAAAGTTCATATATTGCTTTGTGGAGAAATATTAGATTGTTCCTTACTTGACGGTGCCATAAAGGTTCTAAAAAGAGGTTCTTTCATCTCTCTGTGTGATCGAGAGTGGAGTCGGTTCTTAGCAGTTGGCGCCTTTGGATATCTTCTACTCTTATCTTGTCTGTGGTACTCATATTAGAGAAGATAAAAGAACAGTATTCAAGGGAGGGCCGTACACATTTTGTAGAGAGTAAGCTTAGCGTCTGTTGTGAAGAGATGTTCCGTTATAAAACCAATTGGCTGTCTAAATTCAGAAATAATAGAGGAGGCATTTTCTTCAAAGTTTAGGTTTTCTGTGTGATTATTTCCTAAATCATGTACTGATTTGGGTGTCTGGACTCTACATTCATTTAGGTAAAGTTACAGTTCATAGGGATGCCTTCCAAAGTGCATGATCCCGCACTTGTTGGGGTTAAATGGTAATTGCCATTTTTCGCTCCAGATTGAGGTCATTTTGAATCAGGGATACACTTACACTTAGAGTCTCAGGCTTATGGCTGTATGTCATTTTGAGATCATCACCAAATAAGTATGGTTTCCCGAATTTAATGGTGTTAGATATATCATGAGTGGATACTCTGTGTGAAACATTCCCTGTAACAGTCGATCAGCTTAGATCAAACGCTTCTTGACATATCGGTATATCTGTAGAATTATGGTCTACTATGATATTAGTACTGCTCTAATAATAGAACTAAACCCAAAATTGTAGACTTGTCATGATATAACTGCCTAATCTATAAGATCTTACGTAGAAGTCATACCATCGTCTACACCAACTCATCGTATCGTAACAATCACCAGTACATGATGTAGAACAAGCTTAGGTTAGAGATAGGACAATATATTTAATATGAATTAAGGATGAGGGAACATTCAGCAGAGACCACGCCTGCATGGCCAAGCTATGCCATCGAATCAGCTCCAATTAATTAAATTCCTTGTTCCCGCCTTCTCCATCGTTGGTTATTTCTCCGCGTTAAATATTGAATATCCATTTTCCGAGTAGTCTCGTGTCCAACTTTGAGGATTGTGTGGTTATGGTTCAATGCCACTACATATCTTTGCATTCATTCATTCTCGACTTCTGATTTAACCGGTTTGTTATACTTCGATTATAAAGGTGTTAAGTGTAAAGACGTTGTCAAGCTCCGAATACATATAAATTATTTACAACGACGAGAGCAAATCTTCAACACGCCTTATGGCCATGAGAGTGTTGGATGCTAACAATGGGCGACTACTGGGATAAAGTGAGGCACATTATTCAGGAAGCTAATCTGCAAAACGTACCTCAAGCAAAATAAACCCATGCGAAAAGATCTTGGCCTAAACGAGGCACAGAACTACCGGTAAGACACAGTCTGCTATAGACTAGAGGTATGACTGTCAGTACTATAACGAGAAACGGAAATGAATACGTGGGAAAGTAACTTCCTTCATAATGCACAGCTCATGTTCGGGACAAAAAAGTGCTACATATTTTCAAGGAACAGTTGGACAGCTTGTTGAAGCCTAAAATAAAAGGTCAGTGTTATATCCCTCGAATTCACGAAAGTGTTTCAGGTGGTATTGAGCACAATTCCTATGTCGAAGATAGAACTGTGGGTTTTACTGACTTACCAAGACCACCTAGAAGTCAGGATGCTCCGCACTAAGGTAAATAAATTTCGCAGGTGCCGGAGGGTTAAACACCAGAAGTTCCACAGGGGACCAACTTAAGAACACTTCTCTTCTGAATATTTTCCAATGACCTTCTAGGTAATATTAGTTCAGATGTAGTAATATATGATGGCGGATCAAGGATATTGAAGTCCATAAGAAACAAGAAAGGTTCGCCTGAGCTCCGAAAGGACTGCTCGGTAGAAGAGCAGGTAGTAGACAGTGAGTCACAAGCTAACCTTTCAAAATGTCATGACATTAAGTCCGTGGGACACAAATAACTTACATCTACTAAAATCCGTTCCTGACTGTCTCCTCAGATCAAGATCAATTGCTAGTAATCACAAAGAGATTAAATACTTGTCAAAACTACTATGAGGAAGCAGTAAAGCAAATGCAACTTCCTCATGCAAAGATAACTTGGCGTAATCACTCCAGAAGTGTTTCTGACACTTTAAAGTATACTCATGATCTCACGCTGCTGTCCACAACATTTTTGAAATACAGAGACGGGTGACTGCGTAGATGATACAACTAAGAAACAAGTCTTACGAAATACGCTTCGAAAATTGAAGTTATTCTTACAATAGAAGAAGCTATCTGATAATAATCCACGACATACTAAGTACGTCAAGTAACCCGAACATTTTCCTAGAGGCACCCTAAAAACATTGCAGATGAAAGAGGAAAAAATTCAGGTATGCCTCCACTTTTTCTCATAAAGAGTAGCCCCCATTTAGAATGGTCTCCCAGCCGAGGTGCACACGGCAACTTCTGTTGACAGCTAGCTTCAAGAGGAAACCTAACTAACACTTACTTTATCATTGATCACCATCTGCCGCTTGGTCTAGTCGTGTTTTAAGAATGTTACGTAAATTACTTTTGTCATTATCATATATCATTAACTCATTCTTACATCAGTTTCTATCATTTACGCTTTCCTTTTTAAGCTTAAATTATTATCTACCCAAGCAACACAAAAAGGGGAAATAAAGGGGAAAAAAGGGGAAATAAAGCGGACGAAGGGGGAAATAAAGGGGAAATGTCGCTTTTTCGCCTTTACGTCGGTTATTTCGGGGAAATGTCGCTTTTTCCCCCTTACGTCGTGTATTTGGGGGAAATTTGTCGACAATTCTATGTAACGTACAGTATTTGAATGAGCCGCTTCTGGAGCTTAATTTTTCATAAACTTCGACGAATTAAGGCACCGCTTAATAAAAAAACAAAACTATTGTCATAAAAACAAGGTACAAAATACGGAACCAGGCATTCGGTTCATACGCATATAGACTGACTTCGTTTGTTGTTTAGCTAAAGTGTTCCGACATGCTTGGGAGCCATCACAAAAAACTTACGTGATGCAGGTGAGTGACGTGCTCTCAGATTTTCATGTTCATTGTAACTAATTACATTGTTAGGCCAATACTAAGAGTTCTGTTGAAGTCAGTGAGAATGTTCGTAGACGTAGGGCCACTGTGAACTTGTCACGTTCCCTTGGCTGTCATAGATCCACTTATAACAGAAGGTGGAATAAAATGAGAGCTGCTTTCATGAAAAAATATGACTTTCTTTCGTTCAGTGAGTTTGCTAATGAAAGCACCCTAAAAGGTAACTGCGTTCAACAATGTTGTTTATTAAATTTATAGAAGTAAAGAGAGAAATCACTTGTAATGACAGTACTTCAACTATTACACCATCGACTAGCAACATCAATCAAGGACTTTCAGATATTAGTGGTATGTATACTAAATTCATACGTGAATATATATCTGATAGGATCTCCTGAAGTGAACCTGTGCTCTCCGAAGTTCATGAATCGCAAAGAAATGATGAAAGACTTGATGATGTATCTAATGTCAAATACATCTCTGAGCATAAGGGATGCTGATCGTGTTCTGTATGGTCTACGATTTTTTATCCCTGACATACCGAAAAGCATCAGAGGTGTCCTAAAGACGTGTCCAAGTGTTCAACCAAAGTTTATCGGCAGTGGGGTTTACTACCATCTAGGATTGAAAACCAATCTGCTAAGATACGTTGAACTTTGGTTGTGTACTAGTGATTTTGACTTTTTAAAATTATATATCAGTGTGGATGGACTTTCTATGTCTAGAAGCTCCAATCAACAGTTATGGCCTATACTAGGACGGATCGTTGCCCCTAAGTTTAGTGACGTGTTCATGATAGGGATCTACGGAGGGAATAGTAAGCCCGTAGAATTCAACGAGTTTTCTGTGGACACAATTTCTGAAATAAAAGAAATGACTGACGTGGGTCTTTTTAGTGTAAAGTTTAATAAATGTATACCTATTAGGTTGGCGGCTGTTATATGTGACGCACCTGCTCGTTCTTCTGTTAGGTACACGGTAAATCACAACGGTAAGGCAGGTTGCGATAGGTGTACTGTTCTTGGGAGACGGCTGGAGGGAAAGACGACCTTTCCAAATGGAGTACATACCTTAAGAACAGACGACACCTTCCGTCGTCAATCTCAATCAATTCACCATCAAGGACATTCTATTATGGAAACGCTTTCGATTGATATGATTTTAACTTTTCCTCTAGATCCTATGCACATGGTGTACCTCGGTGTTACCAAAAAACTAGCTAATTTATGGATAGATTTAGCACGCCGAAGACTGCGCGACTTTAACTCATGTGCAATTAGGGACATAAATAATTTAATAACGGGTTGTGTGGCAAGTACTCCTTCTGACTTTCCCCGTAAATGCCGTACACTAGACTTTGTATCGGCATGGAAAGCTTCTGAATGTAGGTTGTTTCTTTTGTATTTAGGCCCGGTTATTCTTGAAAAAACATTGCCACAACCTTTTTATCTTAATTTCCGGCGTTTAGCGTTATCCATGTATCTGCTTGCACATCCGAAATTACATAAAAATGTTGTAGAAACCGCCAAATTAGATTTACTAAACTTCCTAAATGAATACGCATGGTGTTATGGGTGTGAAAACTTAGTTTACAATGTGCATTCGTTACAGCACCTCCCCGACGAAGTTCGTGCACATGGACCTTTAGATAGTTTTTCAGCCTTTCCATTCGAGTCTTATATGAGACAAATTAAGAATTCCGTGCGTGGTGGGTTTGCAGTAGCTAAGCAAGCAGCACAGCGTTATGCTGAGAGAATGTCCTTCAGGGATAGGCTTCAAATTAGTGGTTTAACAAATACTACCACAATAGGCGCTAATGATGTCTCCATTAAACAAGTAATTATGTTTAACAACAGCAAAATAAGTTCATATAAACCGGACAATGTAGTAGTAGTTAACGGCCAGCCCGGTTTAGTTACTGACATAAAGGAGGATGGACTGCTAAAATTTAGGACTTTCACTGACCCACGCAATTACTTTGAAGATCCTTTCCCATCTAGTGATATTGGAATCTTTATGTGCTCCGTAGTTAGCCATGAATACACATGGGTATCGGTTCAGGACATTGATTGTAAATGTATAGCCATCAATTGTACCAATTACATAGTTGTAATCCCACTGTTGCATACTTTATTGTAAATACATTTCGTTTCATTAGTGTTTAATTAATTATGATAAACCATTTACTTACGTCTTATGTTCTTTTCAGCCAACTAACAAGAAATACGTTATTGTTGACGCCCTAAAAAAAAACAACTTATGATAGCATCAAAGAACTGGATAGTTGGCAATGACCTTTGCGCTTTTCCGAATGAGATGGTCGATATACACCTTCAGAAGTGCGACCAAGCTGATGACAATTGGTCACTTATGAAGTGTAAAGTTATTCATGAATTAGGTAAGCTACAATCATGGAAACTATAATTCACTATAGAATCTCTGCAGTCTGCAAAAGATCTGTTAGCTTCCCTGCAAATACTGCAATCTCACCTTGAAAACACTTCAACGGATGAAAACACTCTGCCACATAACACTGAGAAGCCCAAGAGGTTTGTACAATAATCTTACTAACATTTCCTAGAGGTGTAATGAAACGTAAAGAAGATTTTCTTTACAATTCAGTAGACATGGATGTGGCTGAGATGCAGGCTGGGAATATCCGCGTACAATATCCGAAATTGCGTGTTTTCGACAAAGTGATATCTCCAATCGCCAAGTACGTTTAATTACTATTTAGATATTCACTATTTAGTTCAACACAATTAGAGACATCACCATCAACATCGGAATGTAAGCATGTTGGTGGCGCTGTATTGGACCAGTAAGTAAACTGCATCATCTAGTGACCTTTTTCACCTGTGGTAGGTTGTATACTGTGGTGCTGAAGATTTCGTCAGCTATGAATGACTTGACTAAAACGATTAACAACATGTCGTCCGCCATTACGAACTTGAATGTTAATGTTAACCAATTGCTTTCAAAGTCTAATGAGCGCGAAAGACCGCATGAATTCGATTGCGGACTGTCAAGTCAGCAGTTCCCTTTGTCATCTGAAGAGGAACTACAGATGCTAGATACTGGTTTGTCGCAGAAAGAAACCAGGGACAGATTTGTAAGTCATTGACATGAATTTAATAATTTGTTACTATTACAGATGGCAATGGTCACTAGGTTATCAGATGACGATCCGAAAGCGTCCATGCGTTTTATTCTGTCGCATCTGCTGACACCGGAGGTTGCCAGTAAATTCACGCTACTTGGCACCTCTTCTAAACGAGCACTACATAAATGCACGTTTTACAGCTGCATACGAAGTAACCTATATCTATTACTTAAACTTCAGGTGCCTTAACTCATCGTTTTTTGTCATCCTCTGTAAATGAGAAAGACCTTGGTAAGCTATACGACATAGCGACACAAGGTTACTTTCACGACCTTCGAGACAAGATGATAAAACGAAATAGAAGAAAAGAAAATCAGGTAGGTACTAATTTAAAGTGATAACCTCCCTACGGCTCTATAGTTACAGTCAACAATACTGACGAACATAACCGTAAGTTCAGCTTCAAGTATTTGGTTGTGCAAAAGCATGTCATTGAGGTATGGTTGTGACTTTTTTTGTTTTTTTTTAAATTCAGAATTCACAGGACGACTACCCCAATTCTGACTAGTCCGTGCAATTACTTTGATGTTGTACCTCCATTTCAATAAACATTATTCTTTCAAACAGCTTACTCTTTTACCTACATGGGAAACTGTTGAAGTGTTGAGAATGTGTGTTTGAGTTTCAGTGAACTATCGATTAAATGCACATTTCTTATGAATACATTATAACCTGTTCGTTCTTTTTCAGATAATTTCAAATAACAATGTATTAGCAATTGCATTGGATATGCATAACAATCGATGCTTCAGCATGTGCTCTACTGTTGTACAATAATACGCTTTTCTTTTTCAATAAAATTTTTGAAATATTTACCGCTTTTCCACTGCATTGCAGATATATTTTGGTCTGTTCTTGAAAATGAAGGCGAACATAGGAGACCTTTGGGGTTCTGTCGATGGATAGAAAATAGTAGGTAATCTGTGTATTTAGGCGAAAAGTAGACAATTAAGCGCATAAGTATGCAATTCGGCGGATATTTAGGCGAAAATGCGAAAATTCAGCGGATATTTAGGCGAAAAAGCGACAATTCAGCGGATATTTAGGCGAAAATGCGAAAATTCAGCGGATATTTAGGCGCAAAAGCGATAATTCAGCGGATATTTAGGCGAAAAGGCGACAACTCAGCGGATATTTAGGCGAAAATGCGAAAATTCAGCGGATATTTAGGCGAAAATGCGAAAATTCAGCGGATATTTAGGCGAAAAGGCGATAATTCAGCGGATATTTAGGCGAAAAGGCGATAATTCAGCGGATATTTAGGCGAAAAGGCGACAATTCAGCGGATATTTAGGCGAAAAGTCGGTAATTTGTCGACAAAAAGGCGAAAAAGGGGAAAATCCGCATTATTTCCCCCGGACAGGCGAAAAAGGCGACATTCTGGCGCGTTTTCCCCTATATTTCCCCTTTCGCTACCATAGCATTTACCCCTTTATTTCCCCTTTTTTCCCCTTTATTTCCCCTTTTTGTGTTGCTTGGGTACTCACACTACACCACTAATCAATTGACTTGTTTATTAATTTATCTTTTGAAACAATAGTCTTCTCTTAGTACTCTAATTCTTGCCTTGAAATGTTTCACATTAAGGCCAACTAGTCAACTTTCTGGCGGGTAACAGCTGCTTGTTAAAAAACTTCACTGCTCTAACACGAATGCAATCACTCAGATTACAAGATATGCAAGCCTATAAATAACTACTAAGCCAAATAGGATTGGTGAAATAAATTGGCTAAACGTCGCCTATTAGACATCGTAAAAGAAGCGAAACCATACCGAAACAACAAAAGACAAGCGTAAATATGTCGGTCAATGAAAGATCGTCAAAAGGATATTGGATACATTTGATAAAGTTTAATTACTGGGTTTCTTCAAGGTCCTCATCATCATGTTTTTGGAAAGGACTAGGTGATTCACTATAAATAAATCAACTGAAAATTATCATCCGAAAGACAAATTTTATTTTCAAAGCTACCTACAGTTTCATTGTGGATATCTGGTGATTAGTGTTTGAAATCACCAGTTTCACTAACATGCAACCTTCAAAATTTTCCATAATTACAAAGTCATGGCTGACATCTTGTTCGTTAGTAATCTAGCCGTGAAAGCCGGGAAGGTACGCTACTCTTATACTTATTTCTAAAACAAAAAGATGATTGAAGCTGGCTTCTCAAAAAGTATTCCGTATGACAAGAAAGAATCATATGCTGACTTGGTAACTGAAGTGGATAAAGCTGTCGAGAATTATATCTGTCAAGAAATCCTTTCATCGTTCCCTACTCACAAGTAAAAGTGTTTATTTCATTCCGTCTTATATTTAGAATTATTGCAGAGGAAGGGTATTCTGGAAACGCCGAGCTTACTTGTTCGCCTACATGGATAATCGACCCGATTGATGGAACCTCAAACTTTGTTAGCAGGTAATATCACCTTCAAGTAATTCCCAGGTTCCCTTTTGTTTGCGTTTCAATTGCTTACTATGTTAACAAAGAGGTTAGTTAATGTACATGCTTTTTCAGATTCACAGCCCGAGCTAGCTGTTGTTTATAATCCGATATTGAAATGGCTGTTTCATGGAATTCGTAATCAAGGAGCATTTCTGAATGACAAACAAATTCATACATCAAAACTTCAGGGTAAGAGTATGTTTCAGTGGAAGCTGTCAGTAACAGCAAGTATCTGTATTGAATGGGTACGAATGTAGTTGTCAAGTGACTCTCGATATGATCCTTCATTGTCAGATAGTAAATGTATCACTCGATATATACAGGCACCCTCGTTATTCAGTATGAGTCAATGGGAGATTTTTAGACTCAGGAAAGCTGAATCAAGGACTAGAACCACTTTGAATCTTGAATACATCAAGATACAAATTATATCTACCTTTCAGATCATATTGTGTTCACATGGAATATGGTGGAATATTATTTCAGAATGACAAGTGTTTATATATTTGATCGCGAAAAGATCACGGTAAATCATGCCACTGTATCTTATCTGACAAAGACATCCAGCAATGGTTGAGATATAATATAGAAAATAATGTATAAAACAATGTGAATATCTGGCTCAACGCAGACGGGTTGTCTGTGAAACTTATTTTTCTTGACTATCACAAAAGAGTACCAATGCGACCCTTGATACCATTAATATGTATGAATTCTCGGTGGTATGACGTCTTCTGAAGCAAGATTTTGATAGGCTTCTTTTTTTTAGATCTGTCTCAGGCTTTGGTTTTGACCGACTGGGGAGGTGACCGAAATCCAAGTGTTTTAGATATTAAGTCAAACAATATTCGCCAAATAATATCGAAAGCTCGTGGGTAAGCCGTCCGTCTTATGACGAATTTTTTGATACTTAATCATTTTTTGTTGTATGGAGACTGTAAATTATGGACGAACCACTCAGATTTAGGATAACAGGTCTCGGATTTTGGCGCGGATTTCATTCGCCCATTTGTCTCAATAGCGTTTTTGCATTTTAGCTGATCTCAGTTCGTGATGAAAATCGTAAATCTAATTCCTAATCATAACTATCAATTGTACATCGTAATCTTTATTCTTCACACTGCTTTATAACCATCATTTAGCACTAGTATGTAGCCGAACATTCCCAAGTTCATTTTAGCACCGCCCAAAAGTCCATAAATTAGTCTCACCGTCGTTGATAACTTAGGTTGGAACAAGTTACAATAACACAACTATGTTAGTGCTTTGTCTTTAAATCGTAGACAGCTTTCATTTATACTTATTAATGTTCTGTCTAGTGATAACAATTTTTGGCGAGAATATAATTTATGGATGAATCAATCTGATATAAGATGACGAGTCTTGGATTTTGGCGCGAAATTCATTCATACATTTGACTAAGTAGCGTTCTGCATTTTAGCTGATGTCAGTTCGTGACTGAAGCCGTAAATGTAATAACTAGCCCTAACCATCAAATCTGGATCGTAATTCTAATTCTTCACACTGTTTTGTAACCCTCATTTAGTCCTAGTTATTAGGTGGACATCTTCAAGGTCACTTTAGCCTCTCACACAGGTCGTTCATAATTTATAAATTCACCTAATTTTCTAGTATTTCTAAATCTCATTTCTTGATACTCGTTATGAAGCAAGATAATAGTGATAACCCTAACGACAACATCGATACCGTACATAACGACTCTATTTTAGGCCCAGATACACCAAATGATGAATCTTGTTCACAAAGACTTATTAGGAAAAACCAAAGATTGATTTGTATCAAAGTCAATCCAGTGATTTATTAATTTAATGATTATTCAGTGACCATTAACTGAGTAATTATCACTGAATACAAAACCAGTTAAGTAATCTGTACAGGGAAATGTATTTAAAATCAAATGAGTAACTACATCTTAAATCTAATAAACAGAATTTCCTACGAATAATTTGATATGACTTAACAGTGTTGACTAAAGATCGCCTTAGTTTTACTTGCGAAATCAAGGTAGGTTTTCTTTCTCATACGCTGTATTCGGGCAAATAGAATCCCCAATGATTATCTATAAATTTGAGTAGTCTAAGATGTGACTAGTGCACTTTTCTGTGGCTTTGATATAGTTTGCCAGTTTTCAGCAGATTCGCACAACTTCTGCTCAAGCAATAATTCAGTCATCCGCTTCTTTATGCATTACTGCTTTGTAGTTGTTGGAGCAACTAGACTTAAGCACTTCAATAATTGATGCTGAGACTAAATAGTCTCAGATATACAAATGGTTATAGTGATAAGTTCATTTTACTCTGCATTTTCCTTCCTGATTGGTTTTAATCTCAGCAAAGCATGTGTAGTTGTTGCAGTAGTTATGTCCACCAAATATGCTAACTGAGGTTTCGTGTTAGTACTAAAAATAGGTGTTAATTGGCTAGAAATGTTGCAGAGGGAAAACACCAGGAAACATAAAGTAGGTAGGTATTGCAAACCATAGCTTGAAATAAATATACAAAATCACAGTCTTGATAAATGTAAACAGTAAAGGTATAAAGAAAACAATTTTTGTCATAGTTAATCGATACGACATACTGAGTGTAGTCAAGTACTGATTCACTAATATCATTATTCAAGTAATTTGAAGTATCTATCTTATGAATCACTGAATTCGAACTTTCTGGAGATCGAAGTACTGACCATACGGGCAACTAAAATAAACAATTCAAACTCAACTGATAACAAATCCAACCAATCTCGAATAATTGACCATTATCAAAATGAAACTGTGTGGTCCAAATAATGATTATCAAAAGATAATGTACTCATCAGTTATAAATTTATACTGTTTTCATAGTCATTAGGGACTTATGCTTACCAGTCTTTATAATGTTCATATTATACTATCATTGTTCACAATCATTTAAGTTGTATGAACATAAAAATCAGTAGTATAGCAAACGTTTTTTTAGAGTATTACCCTAAATGCCACCATCAGTGACAGAAGTTGAATTGTTCAGTCTTGAATTACTATCGGTTTATGCTTTCCGGCTATCAAGCAGATTTCTTCTAGAATATAGTGGTATCATATCTGACTTTAACTTATTCAACTACATTGAGTGTTGTTCCGTCCAGTTACATTAAATTGATTCTAGAACAACGTTTTTGATATAAGTCACCAAAAAATGAACTGTTTGAGACGAAAAACGATATTGCTAATCGGTAAAAGAGATTATAAGAAGTAAGAAATGACGAAGTCCAAGTAAAAATAAAAAAGTTTTCATTCTGTTCGAAGCCGTATTTAAATTTTAAGGATAATAGATGTAGGATTTAATTTGTCCTACAGATATTCTACTAGAACTGTAAACGCGATACTGGCGACCCCAGAGTCTATGTGAAAGCTGTAGTCAGAACAAGGACAACGTTATGTTTCTAAATGTAAAAATAATCCCATTAGTACAATAATTAAAGGGATTATTATAGTCATTAAGTGAAACGCCTAAACATGCCGACCAGTATTGCGTGTCTTATCGAAATGAATAAAAATCATGAGTCACAATAATTTAATAGGATAATAATTTCCTTCATTTGGTAGGTCACATGCAACAGGGATAGTCTACAGACACATTAGGCCAGATAGGCATTTAAGCAAAAAATTGATTGGTTGGTCATGGATATAACTAACAACAGAGTTGTCACCAGGGTCTATTCTAATTCATGCTCTACATTCTAATTTCTTGATCAAGGTCCCAGGAAAAGCGTCAAAAAGTGTAAGTCATACAGACTCCAAATGCCTTGGTACGGCAAAGTGTGGGGAGAGTCCGCTCTCCCTCTCGAAATGCTCGCACATGGCCACGCGTACATAGCGTCTGCCAGGGAAGTCCTACTACTGCCTTCTCGTGGCGGGTGTGTTGTTTACGAAATTGAGAGGACGAAAAGCGAATGCTTGGTGCTTTAACTGGGTTGATGGAAAGGGAGAGTCTACCTAGGGGAGTTGGAAAACTGATTCAAAACCAATAGTGCACATGGGCTCCAATATCCTGAAGGAACAAATGGTGTATGAACCAATCGTTGGTCACCGGCTACCATGCGACTGCATCTCTTTACGTTGCTCCACTGCCTTGTGGACCAGACCTTCAGGTCGAAGGCTCCGGGTGTGGTCCTCCGAGAGAACCACCTGTGTCAGTTTGAGCACCCGCGCAGTATCACAGCCCTCGCACATATCAAATGAGATTTGTGTGGCGCATATGTATTTGGTGCCTCCTTGTACCAATATCTATGTGTTAAAATAAATAAATAAATAGATAGATAATAACATTTATTCAGTTTTTATCCACGACTATATACTTAGAAATAGCACTTCATCCGCCTGACATTCAAGGGTTAACCTACTATTTGACTCATTAATTACTTTAGTTTCCAGTTAATGTAGTTCTGTTTGCTGAAGATGCCGACAATATATGGTGTTCTGAACAGTTTGAGTAACAATACACAAATGCTTGAGACGGGTCACTTTACTTCTTAGTGCAAACTGTTTCAGGACCGCTCTGCATCCAACCCTAGTGTGACCATCGGGTGAAGAGTAAGCAAATTTAGATTGGCTTTCGCACCTATGGGGTAGGAGAGATGCCTATCTACTTGTTAAGGGGCGAGTATACTATGTAGGAGTTTGCTGGGTTTTACTCTATGATAATGAAGTATGGCTTTCAAGAGTAGAATATATTTCTACACTACTAATATTCGATCATAGAGGTCTTCGTGTGTGGTAAAACAACTCACTAAGTAAATATGGCAAGTCAGCTGATGAGGCTGTGAATATTCTTCAACTGAGGTGACTAGAATGTGTTACATATGCCAAACCAATGACTACCTCGACACGCGATGGTGTTTGGCGTAGGGGCGATCAAAGCAATACATGTCATCAGCCTACAAAGTCATTGAGTGTTGGTCCGAAGTATGTGAGTAGATACAAAATACGTGGCTGGAATGCGCCTGACAATCGTAATTGGTGGTTGGAGTGGCACATATGGGTTCATTTTTTATCTCGTGTTAATATCATTTCGCGCAAATTGTCATTATTCTTAAGCACGTCCCCTATAGTTAGTCATCTCTCCGTTTATGTAACTTGGAAACGTAGGGTGAGTCAGTTCTTACTCTGGCAATGGCTTACCGATTAGATTTCAGAGATATCTTAGAGAATAGGCGAAGTCGTGGTTGTAGAGCAGACATTAAAGGTTCTTTGGAACCAAGAATACTGAGTGGATATTTTGGAGAGGAAACAACTCAAAGAACAGGAACGAGGATAGTTCAGTTGTTTATAGCAAACTGTTAAGTAGATGGTTTCCTTACTAATCAGAACTAATAGTTTGCATGAGAAATTTTAAATGGACCAACATTTCAGTAGTTGATGTTGAAACAGAACATCTACTGTCCCCGTAAACAGGTTATTTAAGTGGGCTAAATTAATGTCGTAAATAAATGATAAAATTGGTGAGTGACAGCATCCATATTTTTCTAAATGTAAACCAGTTTATTTACCAATGAAATATCTTTCAGTTTGTATCAAAAGTAATTCCCAAGAATAATTTAACTAAATTATGATAAATCGTACTTTTTTGAGAAATCACCGTCCGAATGAACTTGTGCCCAAAATCCACATATAAGTATAAGAAAATAAGCATTTACGGTTGACATGGTATCCTCAAACTAAAGAATGCTGCCCGCTAATAATTCACTGAGAGAATTTTGAGCACTTAAATTTTAACGTGTAATCTATAATTATGTCGATCCTTCGATATACTATTCCACTGAAAATTCATTAACTTATAAGAGATAAAATCACATTTTGTCACTACATAATCCACAGGTATTCAATGAATAAATACCGAATTTGATTTGCCTATGTAATTTTTAACATTACACTATGTTGTGGATGCGGAGGAATAGACCAATAATTATCATGTTAAGTCCAATGGTGTCTTCGGACTTTAAATGGACATTGCCTATTGGTCGATATCTGTTCACTTGTTAAATATTGTACAAAATGTTGTTTTCTATTTTATGGTACGATGTGGTGTGCTTGATTGGTATATAAAGAAAGTATGTTTGAAATATAATGATTCATAACTCAGAGGCTGTGGCTTGTCTTCTGGACTCAACTGGCTGGGCTGGACAGGGAAGCAGGACCAATCAGAACCCTAGGTCGTTCTACGTGTTTGCGCGTCTTTGGTCCGATCAATAATTCGCTACCCTTAATCCGCAGCAAATATTTTTCACAGTCATAACACACTAAGAAACTGATATCGTGATTCCTGAGACCTCACGAGTCAAAGATCACAAATGACTAAGAATCACTGATTTAAACTAGATAGCATAAAAGTCTAGATATTTCTAAAATATTCACTGATTAGGTAGTGAGGAATCCTATATTAATTATTTACATTTATACCATCAGTTAGTCATCAATACACTTATTAATACTGCTTTCATCTCTGTGTTTATGTAACTTGGAAACATCGGTGAGCCAGTTCCTACTCAAGTAATGCCTTACTGACTGGATTTAAAAGATTTATTTTCTCGTCGCTTAGAGAATAGGCGAAATCAAGATTATGAAGCAGACACTATGGATCACTAAATGTTCGTTGGAACTAAGAATGACAGACAATCAACTTCAATATATTTTTGTGTCTCTCGTCAGTGGATCCTGCATAGCGACTTACTTTAAAGCTTTTGCAAATTCTTGTCTACTCACAGCTTATACTTTAAACTCATTCCAAATGGGCGATTTGGACTAGAAATCCACCATAGTTTTACTTGTTTTATGCAATGGCATGAGATCAGAATACATTAGTGAAACATGGAGTACATACAACTTTAAATTTGTCTGATACAAATAATTCAAATTTTAAGGTTAATACAATATACCCTTGAACAAACCACTCAGAGTAATCAGTCCCACAAAGCGTTTTAATAACAAATGAACCAATAACAATACTATATGATTTTAGTAGTCAGTCCACTTTATATTAAATAACTTTTAATTCGACCTCATATCCTTTTATAATTGTTTTCGGGATTCCAAATAAATTGATAAATGTACTAGGATGTAACAAAACTATCTATCTGAGACTTTACTTCTAAAACTGCATGGTCCAAGATTTATAATACTGTTTGTTGTTATTACGCCAAACTCGCAATTCACCCGTTATTGTGTTCTACGATTTCGTTTCCAAAAATTATGTGGCGTCGGACATGAACAGTACTTTTTGATTTTGTTTGTAATCTCACTACATTTCTCAAACTTTTTTTTACTCCCAATGTGCTGTGAGAGACGCAGTATAATCTGGGGTTATTATTTTATTATGAAAGCAATGTACGATGTAAATTTATTCAACTTATAGACAGAACGTTTGTTTAGAGTTGCATTGGTTTTGGAGTTGCTTCCCAAAATATCGTTTTTACCGAGAATGATCGTGAAAATATATAAATTTAGATGGTTTTGGTGGTAATTGTACTATATCACAGATTTGTCTCAAATAGGGGTTGTTAACCACTGCATTCCTACTTAATGGATCAACGTTATTGTCCTCGACACCAGAATTGATAGTCCTGTATCATGAGTGTGCACTACTGAAAAGTGCTGTGCAGACGACAAAACATTTGTCTAATACTCCATAGCTTTCGACAGTTTTCCAACTGATGTCAGTTCATGATTAAATCCTTTTAATAACCATTTTTGGCAGTAGTTTTCGAAATCGCGTTGTAAATACTACATGTGTTTAAGTGGATAAAAACCCAGTATGATGGGATTACACAGTAGTTTTAAAAACATTGCATTAGGTTCGCTTTAGTCTCAGGAACTTGTGTAAACAGTTCTTTGTAGCATACAGGACGTTAAAACTCAGTCGAATCTTATGGATAGTGATTTTTGTCACAAATCACGGAAGTTTTTAGAATCATATTGAAATATCTTACCATTCTTTATTTACTGTTTTGTTTATATCAGTATTAATTTCCAATATTGCGCCTGTACTGTGAAATCTAGGAGCTTTTCAAGTTACGAAAGTCTGGAAATCATGTCAGATCATTCAGCTTACTTTTTTTCAAAAATTAGCACTGCCGAAATTAGTTGTTGGTATTTCAAACGTAAAACTATTGTTTGAAAGTTATTTGATTGAGTAATTTTTTATTTTTCAACTTAGAGTGCGCACCATGGGTTCAGCAGCTTTGCATATGTGTCAGATTGCTGCCGGTAATGGTGATATATTTTTCGAATTTGGAATTCACTGTTGGGATTATGCCGCAGCTGTACTGATTGTTCGTGAAGCAGGAGGTTTTTGTTGTAATTTTGACGGTACGTTATGTGGTTTAAAGTTTTTGGTTTCGTTTCTTCAACAAATCGAGCTTATACATTTGTATTATGCCGAAAAATAAGTTTTCAGAATTCGGTAATAAACTACTGTGTAATTAGGCAAATAACTTCCTTTTGTGATCGTAATTATTTGGTGAGAATAAAGAATGTGGATCAGAATTCCAATTCTTAATCCATTGACTTAAGTTACATACCGTGATTGAGTACTAGTTTATTTATCATCGTCTTATGAATGATTTATTGTTTGAAAAGAACTTATTTTTGACAATTAAGTTGTAATTTTGTACATAAACATCTCAACTCTAACAATCACGTTAGTGGTATTCAACTGGTTGTATGGTAGCTCGCTGACAATTTTTTGGGTTAATTGCTCCACTGAGTAAAACAAAAGTTCTAAGTGAATTATGCGCGTTTAATTTGTGTTTTCGGCACGCCACTTGTCTATCCGAATAAGAAATTATTGTTATTCACATAAGAGAAAAGGAAGTCTAGAATTTATGTATTTTCCTGAGTTCCAACATTTTTATTTATATTTCACATGAATATTTAAGTATAATTCGTAATAGTGATGATCACAGTTTAAATCTATGGTGTCTACTTTTATTCCTCCAATTTTTATTCATGAATACTCAGGCTGATAAATCTTTCTGTTTGTAAACGAAAGTGAAATTTCATACGAATTTTCCACTTCTGCCATTTGAGTGACTCATATTGTGATCCTGTCCTGTCTCAAAATTCAAAATTGCTTTCGGTAATAACTAAAGGTAAGGTAAATGAAGGAATTATGAACATGATATGTTCATTGTGTATATCTTAATCCTGGTAAGAAGTATATTAAGTGAACAACACTTCTAGTTTGAGATTTGTTAATGAATAAATTATGATGAAAGCTTCTGGCAAGCTTGCAACAATAATATTGATTTTAAGTCTTAACATTTTTCGTTACGTCCATCTTATACGGTTCCACCATCCGCTGTACAGTGAAAGTCCCAATATTTCCGAATGTTTATCAATCTAATTTGTAAATACTAAATTATAAACGATGTAAATAATAATCATATTTTATAATAATGCATATTTACGTATTGAATGTGTCATTTTCGTTTGTTTCAATATGAAATATTTATCAGCCAAGCAAAATTATGCCGATTGTCGAGGTGTCTTTTGAAACTGTAAGGTTACGCAGCATGTAGTTCCTTTGAATCTCCTCATTTAAACGGAATTCTGACTTGTGACTTAGCTCAATGTAAGTCAGTAACACGTATTTTGTAAAGTCTAGTATCTTGACATTTTGTACGCTAAATGGCATTGACATGATCACCATACGATATCGGATTCGGTAGCTGTACTACCAAAACAATTAACTATGCATTGATTATTTAATATTACTCTTTTCTTAGTTCTATCATGTAAGTGTAAGTAATGACTTAATTTACGTTGTTCCAAAAATGACCGATTGTATATTTCTAGGCTCACTTTTGATGTTAATTACACAAAAATTGTGGAAAATAGTAGTACCTAAATGATTCCTTTTCATTTTGATCTTTAGTACTAATAATTGAACCGAAAGACTTCTTACATGATGAATATGCGAGTCAAAGGTAAGCTTTAGAAAGCGACGTCATTTTGTGGTTTCTACAAGTCTACAGGAAAGAATAACTACATTGTAGGAACAATAACTTCTTGTTTAAACCACAAAATCGGATTATTGATAGTGACTGGACGGCTTACCGGTGGTAAACTCAACTTGATCTTATAAATGGTTGGTGATGGAATGTTCATATTCTAATCGAGTTTGTAACAAACGCATATCGATACACTTTATTCGAAAAAAATTACAGCTAGTTTCACTTTAGAAAATATTTATTTGTGATGTCTTTGAACACCAGTGAATGTATTATCTTTGCAAATTTTTATTTTCTCAAGCTTAGTTGTAATTTGGCGTTTTTAATGGATACAAAGCTATTTCGTTAATTCCACGTTATCATATCCATCCAGTGTTGTAGAGTTCAGTCTGAAATTTCATCTATAAATCTTTGAATACAACCATTCCTTTTATTTCGGTTCTGGTCGTGATAACTTCAACATCAGTTTACATAAATTTATTCAAAAAGGCAACATGGACTTCCAGTTGTTACTATCCGCCTAGAAAATAAGTTTTATATGTGCAAACTTTTATCCTCCTCCTAATTGCATGTGTCAGTTGTACTTGTGAACGAGCAACCAAACTGAATTACTGTGTCATAACAATTCAGTAATGTTACATATTTTCTTTTTAAATTTTGTTTAGGTAAACCTGTAGATTTAATGGCGAGAAATGTTATATGTGCGGGAACTCCAGAACTAGCTAACGCTCTTATTCCTCTTATTCAACCAGTTGGTTACGCGAGAGACTGATAGAAGAAGCAGAATCACACAAATATATCTATTGAGGAAAAAGGAGCCAGAGACAATCAAAATTTAGAATTTTTCATTTATTTGTTGATTCTTTTAATCTGTTGGCTAGTTTTTTCCATGTGTTTATTTACGTTCAGAAAGGTTCAATGAAAGTTGTACCTTTGGTTTTAGAAATGCCGTTGTGATTCCTTCCTTACTTCTTCAATGCAGCATTTATTTTCACTTGTATGTGTGTATGTCTATTTATCTATTGAGTGTTTATCGAAAAAAAGAAGAAATATGTGCATAGATGAAAGAACTCAAAGAGCTGTTATATTACAATAATTAGTAGTGTTTAGTTTTAAATGTTTTTCCCACTTTCCTTTCTACTAAAATCGGATTATTTTTTCTCACAGCTCAGAAGTTGGTTACTATTTTCCTATTGATACACGCCTTTTTCCGTTCCTGTTGAGTTTTTTCTCAAGAAGTGTTTTTAAAAGCGGTCTCCTCTTTGGATGACAAACCAGTCACATTTTAGAATACAACTATGCTTGTTTCTTGTGTTTGACTAGATGGCGTCTCGCTTGAATTTTCAAACAAATTTGGATAAACCGTAAGACACTTATGCTTATTATTCAGGTGCTCACAGTAAACCAGGGGTTTATTCCCCTAACTCGATTCATCACTTCACTTTAAGGATCTAGGCAACTTGATCGCGATATCTTTCACCTTCCAAGCATATTATTTGCCATGGAAACTATAATATCGCCTTTAGTGAGCCGTAGTTGAACCTTTTATGAACTGTTTTCGATTCGCCATTTATATATGCATGATGTACAATCTCGTCTACGAAAGTGTGAGGTCAAGTTAGTAGTATGTCTAATTGTTTCCCATGACTGCGTAATGCTTATGACCTTTTTTTAATATCTCTAAACTTTAATAGGGAGAAATCTCAAATTTAGTTCTAAATTATCATTGTTAGGTTTATATTTTGAAGCAATCAGCCATAATGAATATCGGTGCACTCTTTTCACTATACTTCAACTATTGACATTATTAGATTTGTTGTGTAGTAAGCTTGCATGTTTTGATGTGTACTTTAGTGAGTCAGTACTGGTTTATTTAATTCCTATGACTCCCGCATAAGAAGTTCAACCAATAGCCAGTGATATGCATTAGTGTTTCAAAATATGTATATGTTAATCTAATTAGTTTGAGCAGGCTTTAACTATTTTCTGAAGAGAACTCATGTCATACCTGAGGGTCCTAGTAGTCATTAAAAATGTTGTATTAAGGGATTAAATATTTCATTTATTAGAAATTTTATAAATCAGTCAGTGCCCCTTCACTCGAAGAGATTGGAAACTTTCAATCACTTTCTAAAAGAAATTTGCTTTCGAGGTGTGTATTGTCGCCTTGAAAGACCTGCAAAAAGTAAAGAACGTTGCATCAAACTAGGCAGTAGAGTCAGTGGATCACAAAAATCCACAATATTTGCTTAGGTTTTCCACTTACGAAATTCTACAAACATCTCGGGATAAATTTTATGTTAATTTAAATTCGTTAACCTTTGAAAAGTTTTCTGAACTTGGTGCTCATAAGGTAAAATTTTGTTATTCAGTCGAGTCTTACATAAACTAAGTATTGGATAGGGTTAAATATTTAATCTATTCACTATTTAGCTTTCATAGAGAGCTAATCCGGCTCTAAGTGCTTACTTGACATGATTATAAAAAGCTTATCCAAATCTTTATCTAAAAAAACAATTTTGCTGTTCACTGTCTGGTGCGTAGCAAAACACTGGTAAAACAATGCTTGTTTTGCTATTGAGAGTTGAAAGGAATGGATCTTTTTCCGCCGGGTCGGTTGACACATATGTGCGTGCCTGCCTAAGAGCTGTACACTATTTGGAGCAAAGCTAAAATAGATTGAGCTCCTGATTGCTAGGATTGACGTTCGTCTCAGTCCTATATAGGGCTTTATTGTGCCTGGGTATCCGTGAGTCAAACAATCAATGCATAGAAGCGAACGAGCTCAATAGTTTCTTTTTCAATTTTGGCTTCAAAGTATTTCTTCTGATGTTGTTTTCTATCCTCTTGACAACTTACTTTCAGTGTGTTTTAGTGAAAACAGTTCAAGATAACGAGTCTTAGGTGATTGTATGTTCTTGTTCTAATAGTGATGTCTAATGATCACTAAGTCATTTTCTTGTGATTGATTTCACAGCTTGTTACAACCACAAAAATCTTTTAAAAATGGTACTGAGACGAACTTCAGAAGTCCCTGTGATAATTTGAAGTATCTGAATTATTATACAAACTAGAAATCTCAGAAACAACACAATTAAGGCCAAATGGAACTAAGTGAGCATAAAAGAACGACCAGGAGCTATTATGCTGGAACGCAGCAATTGGGATGAAGGGAAGCTCCTTAAAATTCTGATTATTCATTGTTATCGGCATCTCGAGGTTTGCTAAAAGATGTTATGTTGACGTATCGTATTCCTACTAACATAGGTCAGTACAAATCCACTTACTCATGCAAAGAAATTCGCCATCAAGACCATGCGGATCACTAAAAGGGAGCTATACAGTGATCTCGATATTTCTCTAGAATCAAAAATTGTTCGAATAGGATAGGTTAAGTGGTCCAGTTCTTGTTAGTATAAACGTAGTCATTTTTATGTATAACAAAAGTGCTCAGGTATGTAGAATGTCTAGTAATGTCTATGCTGTTGCACTTCAATAATATATTGAACATATTCTACCATTTTAAAATGCTTGACATACATAGCATTTTAAGCTGAATTAATAATAAATTGGAAAATATATGAAGATCTATTAGTTCTGTACATCTGATTGTTACTCATCTATGGTGTATGCTAATTACCAAAAGTTAACAACTAGTTCTAAGTAGTCCAATAAATCGCAGCAAAACAAGTGAATAACGATTTTATTCTCATATCACTTAAATGTCGAATTATTAGATCATAAATTTCCTAAACATAATCGTAAAAATCATTCGATACTTAACTAAAGCCAACATACATCAACAATGGTCTTCATTCAGTGCAGAGGTATGAGTGCTCTTTATCTTATCTATATAATCCAACTTCTGGGATGGCTGGTAATTTTGATACTTAGCGATTATTGCGAGCTAATAACTCTTCTAGTGTTCTTGAAACCCATAATATTGTAGGCATACATGACCCTGGAATAAACATTCTTTATTAGTATTGTTTTAAAGATACTAACTATTCGATATGTGTGAGTTACATAAACTGAACACACTAAAAGAAGCAACCATAGGATTTGGTTTTCACCATTCAAATTGTTATTCGCTTTCCAATCACAGGTTTGTACTTATTTTTGGGAAGCTTAGTAGTGTCACTACTAAGTCTTAGGCTCAAACTCGCTCACGTACTTTGTCTAGTTAACCAGGTAGTATCTGTAGCTCTAACAACTAGAGTACAGCTCACACCCAAGTTCACAGTGAATGAAACAGTTGTTTATCCTACCTATTTGTGGGCCATTAACACTATCCATTTAGCTTTCATAATTGTAATTAACGTTACAGGGTACATAAGACGTGTAGCGTGGCGTGGAGTTGAGATTAACTATGAACACCGCTACCAAGAAACACGTGCCAAATGAATCAGAAGGCGAAGGTTGGACGTAACCAAATAGATCCATAAAATCCCCGAGAAGCCGAATATCAGAAGGCAATTAATGGACCAAGTCGAGTTATATTTGCTGGCGATCTCGTGGCATCGAAAGGATACCGAGATCGTGCCAGGATACAAGCTTGGTTACAGAACGTAACCGAATCCGCGCGAAGTTACAATCAAAGTGTAAGTATAAGAATGGAAGCACAAAATAGCTGTCATTAGCACAGTCAAACAAAAGCACATTAAAATAAACACTGGTAGAGTTGGTTATAATAATAATTGTTTTTATTAAACCAGTCGTGTTCTCGTGATGAATGTGAGTAACTACAGGGGCCCCCCGCTAGAAAGGGTTTACACTTTCGATAAAAAACGGTTTGAATCGTGGGACTGATCGGCTGACGAGCTATTGTAGGACGGAAGAATTGGCGAACAGGAAAGCGATCGTTGATCGTCGAGTTGCCAACGAAAGTCGTTTCCGGAGAACGGTTCCAGGAGCGATGTGCTGTATTTGTTGCTTGAGTTGACATGCTACATCAGAGTGGTTTGTATCCAGAATCTGAAGAGGGCGTTCGTAGGGGTGCGCACCAGAAACGCTGCAGACGTAGGACGAAACCACGTTGAGCCGATGAACCAGAAGCGACCATAACGACAAAGTTCGAGACCAAATGTATGCCAAGCATTCGAAACCAATATATCGACTGAGTACGTTGACAAGAGCATGGGTGATCAGGCCAGCTTTCGCCAAAGTTGACTGAAATCGACGGAACCAAACGGAGATGGTCGAAGGCGTGGGCTCAGGAAACAAAAAGAAAATCAAAAAAAGAAGAGTGTAGCATACGTGTAGTATAGGAATAACCCTACACCGTATCGGTTGTTCACTGTGCGACTATTCGCGGAAGCGTACGGGTAACCGTACTCGGCGACCGGAACGTGAGACGGCAGTCTCGTTCGTATTTCGTGAGTCTGCAATCTCATCCGAGGTCAGAGGCGGCGTGGTCTGCTGATCTGGACGTGAGACTATCGTCCCGTCCGTAGACGGTGCAGATGACGCGTGCTGTTGACCGGGACGTGAGAATGAGGTCTCAGATGCATCTAGCATGGGACCTGAAGAAGATTTAAGGATCCCGCTAGGTTTAATAGGTCTAGCATTGAATCTCAGGTTACCAGATAGGGCACTGTCATCGACGTGTGCTGGTTTGAGACGATCAATGCTGACGATTTCGACGCGTCCATGTCGATCAACCTTGAAGGTCTTTTCGTGACGAGCGATCACGTGAAAAGGGCCTTCGTAAGGTTGTTGCCAAGGTTTGCGCACCGAATCTACTCGTATAAAAACATGTGAACAGGTAGATAA